TGAATATATTTTACCCTCAATTATTTGATTACACTTGATATGTAGTCTTCGTCTATTTGAAGGACAAAAGGTCTAGATCTTTTTTTCTTTTTTTTTTTTGGTGATTTACCGTGCAGGTTAGTGAATGGGTTTTTTTTTTTTTTTTTGAAAAAAAATGAGATAATGCGTATGGAGTTTAATTTATGTTTTTTGGGGTAAATAGAGATGAAATTGAATTCAAATCGGAAATTTCCTTAAATCTAATACTTAATTGTCTAGTTAATTTTATTTGCTTATTATGTCTTATTTGTTTCTAATAGTATTTGTAGTATTTATTGTGAAATTATGAGAAATTAATTAAATAAAAAAATTCTATACTCAATTTATTCTAATTTTTTAGAAGAGGAATTATTATTTTTTTCCTTTATTGTTTGTCAATATCTGAGTATATTTTTGTCTGATTTCTCCTAAAATGTTATTTATTTGGTAGAATTAAAGATTGAATGATTATAAAATGTTAACTCCGTAGATAATTTTTTTGAACGTTTCATTAATTTAATTTGTTGACATATTAATTTATTTCTTTTCTAGACTGGTGCTTCTTTGGAATTACTTTTACGGAGATTTAATGATCAAGAATTGCAAGCCCGTTGGCGAACTCTCCTATGTAGCCTCGATGAGAAAGAAATACGCATGCAAAATACATTAGTCCCTCTTGTTCGCGATGGGGCCGATACATTTGTCCCTCTTGTTCGCGATGGGGCCGAGACATTAGCCCCTCTTGTTCGCGATGGGGCTGACACATTAGTCCCTCTTGTTCGCGATGGGGCTGACACATTTGTCCCTCTTGTTTGCGACGGGGCTAATACATTAGTCCCTCTTGTTTGTGATGGGGCTGATACATTAGTTCCTCTTGTTCGCGATGGGGCGGATAAAATGGATACATCAGGTTATGATATATCGACTACTATCAACTCATCATCCAGCATGAGAGATCAAATCTCACGTTGTACTGATGATGAGTTATTATTGCCTTTTACGAGACTTGATGAAAATGATGAGACGTTTGATGTGAGCTCATTCTTGTTGGATACTCCTTATGAGGAGAGTGACATGACTGATAAGAATAAGCATGTATCTGAAATTCCAAAAGCCCCAGATCAAGAGGTTTATGTTCCTGATGGTGCTTGTTCCAGAGAGTTGAGTGATAAGCATGTTGGTCCTGCTAATCCTGAAATGCGTGATGGAGTTATTTGTTGCACTCTAAATACCGAGGTCCTAGAGGTTCCTCATAATGACAACGTCTTTCTTTTGCATTGATAACATCAATATTTCTCGTGAGTTGTGCCCTATTCCTGGAAGAGGTGTTGACAAATAGAGCAAGACCTTGCTTATAAGGGAAATGCTATGAGATTTCGATATAGTCCTAGAGGAAATTATAGTATTTTGCTGATCCCTCGAGCTCCAATGCCAATTCAATATGACGTGGGGTCATATTGAATTGACAATGCAGTTCGGAGTTTTTGCAAAACATCATAATTGCCTTCGAGGCCAGGTCGAAATCCTATAGCTTCGATGCCTATTTAGTATGCAAGAGCAGTTGAGGAAGCTAGAGGATGTTAATAGGAATTTATGAAGAGATATAAGGTAGAAACTGAATTACTAAAAAATATATGGTTTTTAGTATGGAAATGTTACTTATCTTTTAATGTTTAATTAATGTAACGTTACTTTCTTATAAAGATCAAGTGAGTATGAAAATGTTTTAATTTCTTAGTTTCGTGAAATGAATTTTATATAAGTGATATCAATCCATTGTAATTATCCTTTTTTTCTTCATGTTTGTGAGTTTATCATGATACGATGTCTACTTTATGTCCAATTTTCATGTTCTTTATGAATCTTTTAGTTCTATCATAGAGTAATGCGGTGCCAAAATTTAAATTATATGAATTACGTTCTAAATTTTATAGGATGTCGAAATTATGTGTTACACCGTTAGTAAATAAGTTACATAGGAGTAGTGGAGGATATATAAAAGAGAAATGAAATTAATTTGGTTCTAATTCAATTCTAAAATCTACTTTATGCAGGGAGGATTGCCCAAATCGTATAAAAAGTCTTTCCAACCCGGAATGATGTGGGACTTTTTTTCTTTTTGGTTAAAACATAGATATTTTATTTATATATAATATGCATCATTACACAACCAGTTGCCTGAGATATTACAGACGTTTAGTTTGTCTACTACATTACAAACATCTAGATTAGCTACTACATTATCATTAGTACCATCCGATTGAAGAGATGGCACTAATACCTTAAATCAAACATAAGATAAAGTTAATTTAAAATTCTACTCCGAAATTATTATTCTTACCCCATCATATTAAATGATCGCAGTATGGTTTCTTAATTATGAGCATCCGGGGTTTGACTCTTACCTTTGATGATAGTTTGTGAAGTATTCACTAAAGCGATAGCAACTGTTCAAAATTGAACTGTATATATTAAGTTTTAAATTGTCTTCTATTTTCAAGGTGTCACAAAATCGTAATTTATAAATTTAGTTTTTTTTTTTAAAAAAAAGATACTCTACTGTTTGGAGAATTTTAAGATTTTTAAATTATGTTTTGAGATTTATTCAAATTTTATATATATATATATATATAACTCTAAATTCAAGTTAAAAATTTAAATTTAAGCTTCATATTACGTGGCCGGACGCATACCTAAACTTCTCTTTAAAACTTTTTTTAAAAATATTTGATTTGACCTTCAAATTACATGTTCAAACTTGTCCTTAAACTTCTCTAACAAATGTTTGATTTAAAAAAAAATAAAAGTACATTTCTTAATTATATCTATAACTCTACTTTTTATATCCTTTAATTTAATTTTGGAAGTGAGCCTAAATAAGAATAAAAATTATACATAATTATCAGAAATAAAAAACGGAAATCAATCACTTGTTGAACATATCTGGAAAAACTTTAAACTTCACATTCTATTTTGACTTTTGAATTATAATTTAATTATGTTACCTAAGCACTTAAATACATAACAAAATATTTATATCAGATATTTTCGATTTAAATTTAAATTGACCTCTATTCCTAGCATCCAAATCATATTAATGAGAATATTATCTTCTATAAAGAGAAACACTTAAATGTTCGTCCCTCCAAGCTAATGTAAATACACATGCTTGTTAAGGTTATTTTCACTCACAAAATAAAAAAAAAAAGTATTTCCTCTCTTTATTCTAAAAAAAATGGCTAATTATTTTGTTTTGTTTTTTTTTTAGTTCTAAAACAATGGGAGCTCTTTCACCTGGTTCTTCATGGACTTTTCAAGAAGACTTTATGCTTATCGACACTGTTATGGTAACAAAAAATATATATTTCTTTTTTTTTCCACTTGTTTTGATGCTTTGTTTCTTTAAAAAATTTAATTATTGTTTTTCAGTCAGAATTTGATTTTTGTGATTTTTATTTGAAGGATTACTTAATCTATGTTACTATTTTTTGCTTCATTTAAAATTTTGAGTCGATAACATTCCTTTTGAGCCAAGATATATTGAAACAATCTCTCTGCCCCTATGAAGGTAGAGATAAGGTCTAGAGCTACCATGCCTATTCAGTATGACCCTAGTACATGTTAATTAGAAATATGTTAAGAAAGTTAATAATAAACAAGATTACACTGAGTGTGTCGTTGTTATTTGGAAGATATGGTTGATTTACTAGTTCCTTTATGGTAATTAACACTAATGGAGGAAATGTTTACTTATGAATGTAATCATTTTTCTATAATATATCTATCTTTTAACTTTTATATTATACTTGCCTCTATTAACACTTTGGCGTTTTTTAAAATTAATTTGTAGTGTTCAATAGTTTAATCTAAAACACTCTTCTAGTTGCTAATATTATTATTAGATATTTTTGTCTGAAAAATGCTTGCCACTCACCAAACTAAACACGATAAATTATTATTAAGGAAAATATTTTTATGAAAAATGACTTCCGTCATATAACATAGTTAATGATTTCAAACTAAATGTTGATGAGTGATGACTTGATTGTAGTTAAATAAGTCATTACATGTCCAACTAATTAACATCACTCTTAACTTTGGATCTGAACTCTTGCCTTGTTTTTCGAGGCTCTCCAATGATATAGTTGAGGTACAAGCAAGATTGGGCACTATTGTCACAAGAAATGAATAGAATTTATAAGTTTTTTGGAACACTCTCAAAAAGGTGCTAACAAGTGCATGTTTTGAGAGTCTTTCAATAGCTTTTCAAGTGTTTTCATAAAATTTTCGTTTACTATGAACTCTACTGCAGAAGCTATTTGTTGATAATATATAAAAATGCTATCTTTATCCTATTTGGACTTAAAAAAGAAGAAGAAATCTTCTTTATCATAAAAAATATATATATGCAAGTCTGACTCTCTATTGAAAACACAATAGTCAGCACTCACATGTGATCATGCAGAAGACCTAGATCCCCAAAAAGAAGCTTCAATTCTATTCATTCTTTTTATCTCTTGACATAATTATATATATTAATAGTCTGCTTCGATAAACTTATTTTTTAGTCTCGAGAGTCTATCAAAAATTACTTCTTGATTCCACAAAGGTAAGGTAGTAGTTGGATATATTGTTGTCATTGTACATAATAGCCTATTCAATCCAAAATGAGTTGGATTGACTAGTTATGAATTCTTATTATTTCGTTTAAATTTGTCTCAAACTAATAATATATGAGATTTCTTTTTATATTTTTATCGAGATATAAATCTCTGACATGAAAATACTTAAAGAAAACGTTCTAACAAGATTACAATACTAATTAGTATCATCTACAACAACACATACCTAGTATAATCTCATAGTCGATACTAACAAGATTACAATATATCTTAAACAATTCATGATGAATTAATTGTTTCATGTTATTACTCTCCACCTTCATTTCGAGATCCAAAAGCTCATAAACCTAAACCTAAAAGATGAAAGTGCAGTTTTTTCTTCATCTTTTTTCATTTTTCAACTTCTTTGTATTATTAGCACAATGCAAAACTCATCCTATTGATATACAAGGACTTCAAAATCTCAAAAATGGAATAAACCCAAAATCCATTAAACCCGGTTCATGCTTAAACTCATGGAACTTCTCTATAGACCCATGTGATCATATTTTCACCGACCGGTTCACCTGCGGTTTCCGATGTGATCTCATCGTCTCCGGTTTTTATCGAGTCACTGAAATCAGCCTAGACCAAGCCGGTTACTCCGGTTCATTGCCTAATTCATTCAATCTCCCTCATCTCGAGATTTTAGATATGTCGTATAATTCCCTCTCCGGTTCAATCCCGAATTCATTTTCAAATCTAACTCGTCTCCGGCGGCTCAGTCTTTCGAAAAACTCGTTCACCGGTCCAGTTACTTCTTCTATCGGTTCTCTATCCCGTTTACAGGAACTATTTCTCGATAACAACAAATTCACCGGTTCAATCCCGGAAAGTTTTAATGGTTTAATCAATCTGAATCGATTCGAGCTTCAACAAAACAATATCTCCGGTGACTTACCTGATTTGAATCAGCTCATAAATCTGATCTTCTTAGATTTAAGCAATAACAGACTCGCCGGAAATTTCTTTAGGACAAATTTACCTGATTCGATGATTGAACTCTCAATACGCAACAATTGTTTACACGGCGAGTTTCCGTTGAACTTCGAAGAGTTGAAGTTCCTACAGGTGTTAGATCTGATCCATAATTTGTTTTCCGGGATGATTCCGGCGGTGCTATTTCATCACTCATCTCTTCAGCAGCTTACACTTTCTTACAATAACTTTACGTTTTTGCAAGTGCCGGAAGATTTAGTGCTTCGAAGTAAGCTTATAGCTATTGATCTGAGTTACAACAATTTGCATGGCTTATTGCCGGCGTTTATGGCATCGATGCCGGAGCTGTCGGCTCTGAATTTGGAGCATAACAAGTTTACCGGCGTGATACCGATACAGTTTGCAGTAAAAGTTGTGGCTCCGAGGAATCATACGGCGTCGTTTGAGAGGTTATTGCTGGGTGGAAACTATTTGTTTGGGCCGATTCCTGGGCCTTTAATGGGCCTAAAGCCTGGTTCTGGAAATATTAGTTTGGTGGATAGCTGTTTGTATATGTGTCCAGATTCGGTATACATTTGTCATGGTGGGTATCAGAAGTCTTTATTGGATTGTAAAAAGTTTGGGCCTAGGATTCCTTGAATTGTGTTAGGCCCAAAATGGAATCATATAAGCCCATTTGTATATCTTTGACCAATGTTTTTAGGACTTAGGTATACTTTACAGCTTTAATTAGATAAAAATAATGGTGGTTTATCTATTAACAATAAAGAACTAAATGTTAATTTTGTGGCCTTTTATATAAGGTAAAGAGGCTTGCAAGTTTTATCTTTGAATTTTAAAGCTTGTATGAGGTTTACTTCATTGTGTTCCTTTTGTAGTATCGATGGAGGATAAAAAAATTACTCGACTCCATATATTTGTAACATAGGTAATAATATTATTGGAACTTATTTGAATATAATTAACTCGTTTACGTGCACCCTTGTGAATCAATCCATTAATACAGTTGGTGCTAAAATATGAATTAAGGGTGTAATTACTTTTCTACATATTATTATTATTAATAATAATAATAATAGACTCCAAATTACAAAAGAGAGGATGCAAAATGCAAAGAACCACTAAAGATAAGTACTACTACATATTCTTCAAGATATTTTAGCAGTAGTATTCAACTAGGATTAGGGGACTACCTTTTTTTACGATCTATCAGTGTAGTTCGACTAGTCCAAAATTTGAGAAAAAGGGTCAAGAAATGGTCATCACATCAAGTGTTTATTTTACTTTTTTTGTTGATTACATGTTTTCTCTTGTGACATCTAATATATCATGAACACAAACTTATTTTTTCATAAAATCGAAAGTTTTGTTTTAATTTTGGAATTAAGTAATTACTAATACTTTGTATAGTACAATGCTAAATGATGAAATCAAATTTAACTTGGACGTCTGGTTCACAAAATTTATTCTAATAAACTATATATCACATTAAAATATTTGGATGTAGAAAATACTCCTTTAATTTACCTTGTTATATACCTTCATTAATTAATATTCTTCATATCGTCAAATCATAAATCATGGAACTGGAATAGAACAAGGACAATTCTTCTTGTTGTAGAACAAACAGTGACAGCGTTTTTCATGGCGATGACTCTTTTCTTCATGAGTAGTACACAAGAATATGATTAAACTATAAAAATAAACACGGTATTTTATTTATTTAATTTTATTTCTCATTCGGTGTCTGAAATAGCTATAGTTGAGCCGTGAGAGGTACAAATTTTCTGTGTTGCGGGTTGCAAACGTATCATGCATTTTCTTCTAGTAGATAGATTATTGATTTGGTAATTGATATTTCTTGGTTTCTTGTGTTGATTATTGTTAAGCATGCCTCAAGTCTATATGCACCTCGTAAGGCGCATAGGTCCCCGCGCTTTGGTATCCTAATTTAAGTGTTATCCACCCTACCGTTTAAATGTAATCATTTTGGTTTCAAACTTATTTTTGTTGTCCTTTTGGAATTTTTGGTAGACTTTTTTGCTCTTTGGCTCCGGACTCGTTAGTTGTACAATCTATTTGAGCAGTATTAAGTTATATATAATTAGCACATGAAAATTCATGGTATTAGTAATGCAAGAGTTTTAAAATTTAATACATATATTAACATAATTAAAGAAACAGTTGTCCCTCAAATCATTTTCACAACCTTTCTACACCCTCTGTATCATACTAGTTGACCGTTTATTTTAACATGTATATTAAGAAATCATAAATAAGAAGATAAGTAAACTAATTGACCCCTTAGGAAAAAATGGAAATTTTACAAACAAATGTAAACATTTTCAAAAAAAATTAATTGTAAGGGTATTATAGGAAAAGTTTAATTAATGTTTTCTTGATTTAGTAAGGTGGACAACTAATATGAGACAACTATTTTTAATAAGATAATCAACTATTATGAGACAACTATTTTTAATAAAATAATCAACTATTATGAGACGAAGAAAATACCATATTTGTGGAAGATATTTTTATAAACAAATATTTTGTAGATGAGCTACAACAATTTGAATGATTTATTGCCCGCATTCATGGCGTCGATGCCCCGACGCTGAATTTAGAGCATAACAAGTTTTCTGGCATGATAATTATGGCTTATTTGCTTGGGCCTCTACAGGCCTAAAACCCGGTTTTGGTGATGTTAATTCGATGGATATTTGTTTGTATATCAGTATAGATGTGTATATTGTCAGGTTGATTTGGATTTTTCAGAGCATGACAATTTACTATGATTGAATTAAAAGAAGTTAAGCAAAAAAAATTATCTATCCAGATAGTTATAGCGGGAGCGAAGCTAGATTAGGGATTTGATTGAGTCTTTATATATAAAAATGATATATGAATAACATTAATTAATTTGCCGTTTCAAAGGTAATTTGAAATGGTAATCGAGCTCCAATGGTCCTACTGCAACTTCAAAGTACATCTTACGTTAGCTTGACCCAATTATCATAATTTCTGCGTTCTTTATGTTATAGTGGGATCTACTCCGCTATAGCAAAACTAGATTGGGGATCTGATTGGGCTTTTATATATAAAAACTTGCCGTTTCAAATATACTTTTCGTTAGTTTGACACAATTGTCATAAATCTTAGGTTAATTATGTATTGTATTGTTTGGCTTGAAATGATATATAATTACATGTTCCGTACCATTTTGATTAGTTTTCTCTATATATTTAATATAGTTGAGGAAGCTTTAGCAACGACTAGGGTCAATTCGCTATGATACTTGTACAAAAGACAGACCTTGCTATTTTGGTATTGGTGACTTCATTGGGTACTATTGTTGTAATATTCACAGATGTTTATTGATATATACGTAACAATTCTCATGCATGGAAAAAGAAAGTTGGTTAAGGTAGATTAGAATCCACCTATTCTTGCTGCACAGAATCAAAACTGGTTTGGAAAGTATATAGTGAATGTGTTGATAATTCTTTTCAATACTATAAAAAACTGTAGAATGAGGATTAATGCAAGTATCACACAGTTCGGTCATCATAGTGCAGAGATTGAATCGAGAATTGCTTGTACTTCGAAAAAGTACTGTGATATACTTTTCAATGTGATTTCAATTGTTTCATTGATTTTGACAATGATTTACTTTGCGAAAAGGACTTTTCGTTAGTTCGATTAGCCACAAGATACAATTAGTTGTATACTTGTGGATGATTTTGAAAGAAAATCATATGATGAGATGGATCATATTCCTCCTATCAATGTTCGATTTCTAATTACTAAGAGAGAGTGTAAATGTGAGTGCTATTAAAAGGATAGATAATGAGGTGGAGCATGTTCCTTCCGTTAATTTTTCGAATTCTGATTATTGGGGAGAGAGTGTAAATGTGGGTGATATTGAAAAGAATTTATTCTAATAAAATTAACTTTGTTTTGAATTTATAGGTGAAGCCAATTTCGAGAACGTTTGACATGTGGTCTGCAATTTTTGTACACTTCTTGTGGTAATAAGTCATTTCACAATGATGGAAATGTGGTATCCAAGAAATGTAACTAAAAATCCGATTTGGTATTTTACTCTGGCTAACTTCGTAATAATTCATTTTCCAATAAATAATTGGGTTAGTTATAACGCCATCAAAGATAAAGTAAGTAATAATTATAGGTTATTTTTCTTTATTTTTATTAGTTATGGTTATTACTAATATTTTTTTTTATTTTTGGTACTTGGTTAAATTTGTTACTGAATATAATGAGAGATCTTGTGTCATTGTGATTGGAACCGATTCTAGTTTGATAATTTTTGGGGATAAAGATCTGAAAAATATCTCAATTTTGGTCGAATTTGTTGTTGCGATACTAAACTTTCATTAGGACCTATTACCTTCCTAGACTATTCAATACCGTATTTTAAACATATATATTTGCCCACGTGGACATAAAAAATAATGTAAAATTATAAATAATAATGTATCCGCGTGGGCACATATATACTTTTAAAATACGTCTCAGCCTCTTCATCGATGACCGCATCAATCTCCTTAAAAAGGCCCCAGATTCCTTCCCCGAGAACAACATCATTGACATTTTCTTGTACCGGAAATGACTGGTACAGATGAGGAATTGGCCTGGCCAATGCTTGATCAATATTTTTGTTCTTCATCTCTGCTTCGTCGTCTGTTGGGACATATCCCAAACCAAACTTTACTCTTTTGGCGGGAATTTGGATAGGCTCGACGATTCCTTGAAAGTGTTTCCCCAATCCAAAACCTGGTTCGAAACCATTCTGAAGCATAACAGTAGCAATCATCTTGTACACGGCAGGCATAGGAGGCTGTGGAGCCAAGTCATCATCGGTGACATTTACCAGCTCCACCGTGTAGAAATCACAACCTCGAGAGACATCATCAACGATCGGTGCATACTCATTGGCATGACTCCCTTCACCATAAATGACCAATTCCTGGTCCTTCCAAACAAACTTCATTAGTTAGTGAAGGGTAGAAGACACAGCCCCATCCATATGAATAAACGGTCTTCCCAGAAGCAAGTTGTAACTGGTGTTGATATCCAACACCTGGAACTCCACATTAAAATCCACAGGACCCACCTGAATATCCAAGTTTACCGCACCCAATGTGTCTCTTTGCACTCCATCAAAGGCCTTCACATTGACTTGGTTCTGGTGAAGCTTTCCCAAGTCGAATTTCAGCTACCTCAAAGTCGAAAGTGGGCAAATATTAAGACCGAATTCATCATCGACCAAGACGCGATTAATTATCTTGTCTCGACACACACATGTGATGTGCAGAGCTTTGTTGTGCATCCTCCCTTCAAAGGGCATCTCTTCGTTACAAAAACTGATGTGGTGTCCTCGGATGACCTGGTTTATCATGGCTGCTAAATTGTCACTGTTAGTACCCACATGCACATAAGTATCATCCAAAGCCCTCATCAGAGCCTGCCTATGCAACCGCGAACTCATTAATAAGGAGCCGGCGCCTTCTCCAAATGCTTCATAATTGAATAATCTTTCGGCTGTATTTTTCTCCAGAACTCTTCGGCCTAGGCTTCACTGATTGGCCTTTTTGTTTGGTCCTTCTTCTGCCCACCTT